GTCAGACCCCCAAATCTAATCTTCGATGGGTGTTCTCGATTAGCTGGGCAGTTTATTTTACAGCATCATTTTGTTATGTGTTTGGTTTGTCGTTTGTTTTTGTTTTCTTTATTCACAAGCTCGCTTACATAGTAGATAACTACATAAGTAATTAACTAAATAATTAGAGGTACTAAAACTATTAAAACCTTAAAATCTCAAAAATTTATTTTCTCGTGAAAACTGTCTATACGGGTAATTCGGGTTCCTGATAATGCTATTTTCTGGTGCCAGTTGGCAACGCTTTAGCCAGGACAGCTGCTTTTCACCGAATTCGTTGAATTCCGTATTGGGGTTATTCGGATGATTACGAATATACAGGGTGTCACAAAGTTATGGACGCTCACTCAGAAGACAAGACCACTCTAAGAAGTGAGGTGGGTGTGGACCTGGTAGTAAATGATGGCCATTCCTCGTTGAGCAAGGTCGGGCAGCTGAAACCTGCACCACTCCTGGATGAACTTAGACTCTGTAGGCTGGAGCACTTTCCACTGGAAGCATCTCGGGTTATTTCCATGGTGGGACTCGGCGAGCCTTCACTACGTTCACCTAAAATGTTCGGTTTGTTGATGTTTCTATGTCGACGAAAAAGTAAGGTCCTCTTACCACTGCTTGTGGTGTTCTTCGAACCAATACTGGGGTGAGTTTGGTGATCTGCGAACAGTCCCTCCTCGTAGAGTAGCACTCTCGACATTTCTGGCCGGGATGCAATGGTTCTGGTTGATCTGCTCAGGTGCGGAAAATTTTTCCTTCAGAAGAAGGGGTCAGGGGGTGCGTCTGGGTCGGTAAACCACAAGGTATGGCAAATGAGAGCGTGTGAGATCATAGAGCGAGCGGCTTACAATCAGTTCAGAGCCCGTGTCCTCCCAAAGGCTAAGCCCTGACCGCGGTACAATCGAGAGGGGGGGGAGGGAGGGGGTATACAAACAGAAAATAGGCGCCGAATGAAGCCAAACGTCAAGAATGTTATATTGTATCAGACACCAAATAGACCCTTTATGCAACTTTACTTCTAAGAGTTTATTGGGAACAACCGTCGTGTTGATGTGGCGTCAACTGGCGCGACAGCGCCAAAACTGAATTTCATTTTCGTAATCAGGACATCAAATTACCCTATATGCAAAGTTTCTACAGAAAATAAAATTTTGAATTTTTTTGATTTTAAAATGCTAAAAGGTAAAGGAAAGTTTATACATGCGGTGCATAATTTATTTGCCAAAATACATATATTTATGCGATGTCACTGCTTTTTAATGCATTGTATTATTTCAGAGATGAACAACTGCAGGTATGTCTGGCCGAAATGACTCGTCATTTGGCCAACTATGCTAATCATTCCGATAAAGCATACTGAGGTGAGATTGAAATGTTTGATTATTATTCAATTTCACTATGCGGTTGCCATGTCACGGTAAATCATCAGTGCATTGATTTTATCGTTCAGGTATTCCTTTTCTTCGTGCAGTCTGCTGGACTTGAGCGCAGTGTGAAGATACCCCCATCCGATGTATTAGTAGCAGACAGAATTCGGTTAGTTTCGAAGGGATTGGAGTTGGATTTTTTCATTCTTGCAAGCTTCCCAACTGCTCCGATTATTTCAATTCGAAGTGTTGAGGTTACTGCAATAACTTTCAGATGTAAATGGCAGGATTCTTCCCCGATGAACTCAGCTGTGCCCTCCACTTCTCTCACATCAATTGCTGCGGATATAAGGAATTCGAGTCGTAGCGATTCTCCTCTGCCTAAAAAGCCAAGGAAAGCATGCTACCTATGGAAGCCAAATGGTTGGTATATATTTTCAGATCATCTGCGGGATAATTAAGCCTCTGTATTTGCGTGATCTGTGCGTTCTCTGTATTGAAGGCGCATCGAATAATGAGCATCGAAGGTAAAACATTAGAAGCACAGTCACGGGGAGGTGAATGTCTGAGTCCTACTGCAAATTGGTTGACTCTCTGTGGAATTCCACTTGTGTTGGTTGGAAAGCGTAATAAAGTAAAGTTCAAAGGCAAACTCGCTCCACAGATCCCGCCTATTTCATAGGCCACGCCCCCTAAATGTGTGCGCAGGAGCAAACATCGTATTAAATGATCAAAACCCACCCCAGAAATTATGTGCTATTCACCCATCCAAATACTGCGTGGAACTCAGAGAACCTGGGTAATTAGCTTACCCCTCCTTCACATCATTCATTTGAACAAGTTTTTCGATCGATATAGCAAAGCTCCTACCCACATACTTGCTTCGTACAGTACAAATTCCGACATTATGAGTCCTATAAAAATATTCCTCGAAGGCAAAATCTAAGTTCCTTTTCGAAGTCTTTTCATCATATTGTTATAGAAACTTTGAACCTGTACGACTACCTCATGGAAAAGGAGGAACGTCAGCATCGATCACAGTGGGTGGACTTTGTCGGTCGAGTGAAAGCTGGAAATCGTCCAGCAGTTCTTTATCCTAATCTTGAATCTTCATCAGCATCTGCAAAACAAGATTAACTCTAAGCTGCAGCCGTGATTTGTTGTCGATTGTAGTCGTCTACCAGTTTTTTCTTTCAATTTTTTCTTGCGGTAAATATTGAATAAGTGATTTTGTTTTCTCTTTCCTTTGTTTGGTGTGCTGTTTTCATTAAATTTCGCGCTGTTGTTGTAAGACTGCAAAGTCTAGCTGGTACGAATGAATGCAGAATATGATGAGCCCATAGATAAATAATAAAGGTCCGATAAAATGAACAGCGGCGAAGACGCACTGTCAACAGAGCAAAAATACTCCAAACCTAAAATAAGTCTACCCTCAAGATTGCCCTCACCTACAGGAGTGCTTGTTGACTTTTATGGCGCCGGTATCATCGCTTGGTCTCCATTTCGCGAGATTTCACTCCAAACAGCCTTGATCTGGTCTTTCTCGTTTCCTTCATTCTAAGGGGACACACTCACCCAGACGGTCAGTGTAAGCCATAAACTCGTTCAAAAAGACGAGCTAAATCTCTGATTTCTGAGCAAATTAGCACACTAATTCGATCGAGACCCGTGCTTTTAAGTTCGCGGATTTTTTTCACATTGCACTAGTGACGTTGACTCAAAATGAACAAGAAAGAAGACAAGGAGTGTTTGGCGGCCTCTTACCCAGCATTCATTTCATTTAATAGCTCCTTTATCAGTCAGTGATCTGAATTTGAACGTTCAAACCGTTATTCTTGTTTTATCAAAAGAATAAAGAATTGTGACCCAGGAAGACAGTGGGGAATGCACCAATCTAGGCATCTAAAGCTTTCAAAAAATCATGAACACTGATAAGGGCGCAGGGCTGCGTTCCAGAGGTTAAAGACTACCATGCTCTGGCTCCAGTGAGTGGCCGAGGATGGTGTGCTGGCAAGTGCCGTTGCTTACTACGCGCACTTCCCAGGATTGAATTCTGCGTGGCACGCTCTCCAGGCCAGCCAATCCTCTCATCACTCCAAAGTTTGTTGGGTGCAACCACTTATCTGGGAGGATAAGAATGTAGACTTGCTAATCGGCTTGCCCTAAATGTCATTCTGCAGGCTAAAATGCCGCTACCTTTCTGAATGGGAGTAGGATGCATCGCTCATTCTAAAAACGGATTCATCAACGCAAAGCGCTTTTTTCATCTTTGAGTTCAATTACTGGGGAGTTTATTTCATGTTACATTTACACGTGCTTTAACATTGAAATTCATCAATGACAACTCCGGCTGTGGTGCTTATGGAAGCACTGGTATGTGCAGAGAGGAAATGGAACCCTCTCATCTGATGGCGATTTGTCAATTACATGGCCGCGAAGAAGATGAATCAGATATCCGAGCCAATTGACTATGTTTTAAGTTGAGGAAGTGTCGACTAGTGCAGCCTCCGGCATAGTAGAAGTGATCTGTGGTCACTCATGCTAGAACATGCCCAAAGCTTTAGGATGTTGTTGAGAAACAGAGTCATTTCTAGCTTTCCTCATGCCCCAGTAGCGATCCAAAAGTATGCTCCGAAACGTTCTCAAGCCACTGCTTTTTAAGAAATCACACCACTTGTTCAGATTATCTGAGGTTCTCTGGTCGAACATTGTCGCTGATCCTCGTAACGGAATAGGTTAGAAACAAGGACTGAAAGATAACACATCACATTTCGAACGAGGTTGGTCAACTGCGAAAAAAAAAATGATGTATAAAATGCAATTTCTGTTTACACTGTAGATTCTTCGTTTAATCTACGGGCAAAAAGAATGTCGCGTTGGATTGCTCGCCTTGCCAGATATTCACCTGCTCACGCCTAATTAAATCAGAACTGCTGTGTGAATGAGAATTTGATGTGGATTGCTATTTCTCCACTCGCTTATGTTGACAGTGCCATTATTTGGACTTGAAACGTACTATGATTCTCCTGCCTCACAAAAGCTTTCCCTTTTATCTTGTCATTAAACCGATAAGTGCGTTTGATATGAAAATGACCTTTTTCGGCGGTGAATAGACACTCGTCAAGAATTCTTTGACCTTCGTTCGAGGTTGGCAGGGCTAATGATAAGGAAATTCGCCGGTGCTCAAAAGATTCGATACTGATGCTATTGTTAATGTTTTTACTTCTTTACCTCGGATGTTCATGTGGTTATCAAAACGGAGTCTCTGATCGACTAAGCCGGAAATTTCTGGTCTGCTGTTTGCATATCAAAACGGTACTGTTTTTTGGAACAATTTTCAAGATTCCTTACAAAAAATGCATATAGTCATATCGAGTTCAGTGACACAGACTTATAATGATTCGGTTGCTCCTCTTCCATTTCCAACGTAAAGGAAACGTGGGTTTTCACTGTCCGTATTTTCGCCGGTCGTTAATTATTACAACTCCATAGATCCGGTTTTTGGAGTAGGAATTTGTGATGTAGATGAGTAACTACTCCATTTTAACTTCCTTGAACGATGTTGGCAATTACCTCAAAGACAAACCTCAACTACGTTACAGTAGCAAAGTAAGCGTGACTACGTGCCACAGGGTCACAGCCATAAAAAAACTTTTACTAATGGAGTTATCTTATGGCAGAAATGCCTCTCAGAGTAACAAGGAATTTAACCTACCGTGAAATTAAGTGATTTACGATGTCTACAGCGCCAACTTTAGCGATTATGCGTCATGTCGCTGTCAGTTTTACTATTTATTTATTTTAGTGCGTCAATCCAAGATAAGGAGATGGCACAGGTTGAATCTCAATGTAATTTACAACCGACTCTTTTTTTATGAGCAATTTTTATGGAGATGGTCACGCTCCTCCGTTCCACCTTCCTTCACATCATTTCCTCTTCATCCGTTGATGGTTACTCCTCGTTCCGGGGTCAAGGAACAACATTGCTCGATCTCTTTTCAACCTATCACTTTTGTTCTGTCTGTCAAGTCAAGTTCATTTCATTCGGTGTTCTGTGACCTTTACACCTCAAGAGCTAAATTTCCATGTAGAGATGAGCTGGCTGAAAGATTTTGAGAAGAATGGCTTCGCGGTGATCGAGAACGTTTTCACAATCGATGAGCTGACTGAAATGAAAAGCGAAATCGACCGCTTGATCACCGAAATTGATTTGAAGGATCACCCCAAAAGCGTGTTTTCAACACTAGATGAGGATAAGGTGTGGATTGCCTCTGATTTTCGTCGACTTTAACCTTATACACTTTTTTTGATTTTAGCATGCTGCTGATGACTACTTCCTCAACAGCTCTGATAAAATTCGGGTATTTTTCGAAGAGGGCGCGCTTGATAAAGAAGGAAATCTGCTTACCGACAAACACAAGGCCTTCAACAAAATTGGACATGGTATCGAATCTTGTTCCCATATGTTATTTTTCCTATTCAAAGTCTTCTCTGCAGGACTTCATCTGGGAAACCCTGTCTTCAAACGCATGTCATTCCATCCGAAAATAAAGCAACTGGTCAGAGAAATACACTTCGAGGAGCCTAAAATTGTGCAAAGCATGTATATATTTAAGGTGAGCCTCATCGTTGTTTTCATTCTGATTGACCGTTCCAGATTGACCCCGCCTTGGTTTCGTCTCCTCAACTTATCTGCCTGGCATTTCCTTGAAGTAATTAGGAGAGCTTTTTCGTTATGAAATGTCCAATTCAAAGTTGTGGTGGAGGGGGAAACTTCCATTCGACAACCTCGTTTCAAGTGATGGTCACAAAGCTGCAGCTTATCTTTACTCCTTCACCCGTGCTTGCGAACTACAGGGTGGACCAAAATTATGTTAACTGCGTGTGCACGCGGTAATATCCAACTTTCTCTGAGTTTATCCCTCTCCTCTTTTTTTCCTGCACATTACGTAACTGGTTACGGATGTACTATTTAGGGGTGAAACTCAATATCATGCAGTTTTCAAAAACAGTGGTTGAGTCATTTCGGGTTTTCGGATATTCTGGTAAGAACTTCAGGAAAGGAGCGTATGTCTGGTGAAAGTACAACATTTGCTGTTTCTTTTGACATATTCACCCTTTTCCCCTCTAGCCCAGCATCCGTGCTTGACGGCAGTTTCTGGAAGGAAAAACTTAGCGATTAGAGTGTTTTGAGTGGTCCCAGAATAGATACTGTAGAACCAATGGTGGTGGCGAGGGCCGGGTAAGGTTGATGAGCAGGGTCATGTGAGGCGTTGGAAAAAACATTGAGACACAACTCACCCCCCCCTCCCCTATAAGAAACAA